TCTGAGTGGGTTTGCAGAGCCAGAAGAGAGGACACTCTCTGTCCAAGAATCATTTCATTCCTTTTGTAAATAATTTGAGTAACATAGGAAAGCCCACTGTGTTAGACACTGAGCTCTAGCAGTGAATGAGGCAGAAACCTCACATTATGCTCAGGGAGACCAACAACAAAAAAAAGTAAACAAAGTATTTCACTTACAAGTGCCTTGTAAGCCCCAGAAGTCTTAACCAGGTGGTTATATCTGAGCTGGGACCTGAATGACAAGAAGAGCCAGCTAAATCAGCATATGCAAAGGTCCTGAGGCAGGAGGAAAATTTGTGTCTTTGACACAGCAGAAGAAGGCCAATGTTACTGGAGCAAATGAGGTGGCAAAGGTACGTGGGTCTAATCACTTAGGGTCTTGGAGGCAGAGTGAGGTCATTCTGCAAAGCCATAGAGTCAGCTTCTTCCTACTCACTCCTCTGTCCCCAACAGCTCAGCCTGGAGGACACAGCAGGAAGCCCTTGCTGAATGGATATGTGAGCACTGTGTTAGAGGTGGGTGAGTGAAGAGGGGCAGAGGGGTTTGTGATGGAATCCTTGTACAGAGGTACAGATTCAAGCCCCAGGTTACTAGCTGTGTAGCTTGAGGCCTACTGTTGTTTATCATAATGGCAACCAACACTTAGAGGACTCTGAGCCATACGGTTGTCTGTGTTGCAGCTACTCTACTCTGTCCTTGTTGCTATAGTGGGAAAGCAGACACAGACATCACAAAAATATGAGCATGGCTGTGTTCAAATAAAAGTTTATTTACAAAACCAGGCTATGGGCCAACCCATGCCTTGCCACTTAAAACGTGTCAGGTACAGTCTATGAACCTTACATATGTTAACACCGTTATAATAGCAGGCCGGACAGGTAATTGTCCTGATTACATTTGGGTCTTGGGCCCCCCCACTGAGACTCAGGTGGCATCTCTGGATGCTGGCTCCAGAAATCTACAGACATACAGAGTTGTGCACACAGCTTGCGAGGTTAGGACCTTCTGAGTCCCTTGTGAGCCCCCAGGATGGATAATCACTAAGGCCCCTTCTGCCTCAGGCAGTGACCAGGTGGGGCTGCTAGGAATTATGGAACGCAGGCAGGAAGACAGAGAGGGTGGGAATCATGGGCTTCCGGAATGGGTGGCACAGTCTGGGACAGTAGTCCAAAGGCCAGTTGACAAGGGGCCTCCACTCAACCTCTCTACGGGAGTCTGTATCATCTGTAACGTGAGCTCTGGACGGTTGTCTTCCCAGCGAAACGTGGCCCGTTTGGGCCCTGAAGGACTTCCTTTCCAAAGTGAATGGCAGAAAAAAACCTAGCTGGCGGAGAAGCCCTACAGGGGACACCCCCTCAGTCAAGTCTGTGTCTACACCATAAAATGTAGCAAGATTAGACTCATTCTTCCCAACTACAGGTATTTATGAGCACCTACTGTATACCAAAGACTACCTTGGACCCTGCCGGGGATGAAGCAGCCTTCAGCCAGGCCAGCGGGGCAGGACCAGGGAGGCAGCGGCACTGGAGCCAGAGCCTGAAGATGGGTAGCTGGGGGGCACTCCGGGCAGAGGGAAGGGCAGCAGTGTGGGAAAACTCAGGCTGTGCGGGGCCTGATTAGGCTGGAGTGTCAGGTGAAAAGATAAGGAGAATCAGGTCCGTGCCCCGGGGGCGGCGGGGGGGGGGCGTCCTAGTGTGAGCTAGGTCAGGAGGTGGAGCAAAGGACAAGCACTGGGCCTCACAGAGCTTTGTAGGAAGGGGTTAGGGAGGGACAGTGAATCCGCGGCCTAGGCAGAGGGCAGCAGGACAGGACAGAGAAGAGAGCTGGATTTAGTAGGTGCCGCAGAAAGTAAGTTTGGGAGGCTCCATTGCCCCCTGCGCCCCGCCCCCAACCGCCCTGGGAGGGCCACAGTGCGCATTAGCGTGTGAAAGGCCTAGGAAGAAGTGGGTGTGGGAGAAGAGATTGGTTTAGCTGCTGGGTGGGGGTTGTCTCCCTGAGGCTCACAAGACTTCCTGGAAGAACATTCCAGACAGGCAAACGCAAGCAGGCATAAAAAGGTGTAATCATCTGATAAGGTTGAGCGTATTTTTCACATGTTTTGGAGTGAACTAGCCCCAGAGGGATGGACTGAGTGTGGCCGGGCAGGTGTGACCGCCTGAGGCAGCCTGAGCCTTGTCCATCACTAGCGGAAGCCCTCTCCCCTCACAAGATTTTTAACCCAAAAGGTTGGGGTTGCTAACTCTTTTCCAGAAGCTGTCCCAAGATCACAGAGCAGGAATATAGGGAAACCAGGACAGGACTGGAAGCCAAGTATTTCTGACCTCAAACTTCTTAATTTTAACCTTCAGGGCATGCAAGTTGGCAATTAAATTTAACTCCTAAAAAGTTGGGATGAAAAGTTATAGCAACCTTAAGCCCTGGCAGGTGTGGCTCAGTTGATTGGAGCATCATCCAGTAACCCAAGGGTTGCACGTTCGATTCCAAGTCAGGGCACATATTTGGTTCCTGGTTTGATCCCTGGTTTAGCGCGTACTGACACATAGGACCCAGAGTCCGGGCACATATGGGAGGCAACCAATCAATGTTTCTCCCTCACATGTTTCTCTCTTTCTCTCTCCCTTCTCACTCTCTAAAAGCATTGAAAAAAATGTCCTTGGGTGAGGGTTAAAAAAAGTTAGTAGCAATATTAAATCCATGGCTGGTAGACAGAACAGTCAGGTTCCCCTTTCCTTTCCACCACCTTAGAGTGGGTCGCCCACCTGCCACCTTTCCCAAGCCTCCTGCTCTATTGCTGCTTGTCCTGAGACACTGAAGCTGTAGGAAAGGGCAGGGTCTCAGGCCCGGAAGCTTGGTGGTGCTGCTGGTAGAAATCAGCAGGTTGAGAGGAGGAAACAATTTTGTAGGATGATCATAGTTCATTTGCCATCAGACAGACTTGGATCTACCACTTATTAGCTACACAAGCTAGGACAGTAAATATACTGTCTAAGCCTCAGTTTCCCCAAATTGTAAAACAGGGATAGTAATAATGCCTGCATCACAGTGTGTGTGATGGGACACAGTACTGTGTGTGACACACTCAGTTCAAGGCCTGTATGTATATATGGTAGAGACATATGCATGGCTTTCTTTTTCTTTTTCTTTTTTCTTTTTTACTAGATTACCAGTATATTTACATTGCTTTGATTATCAGTATCATTATCCTCAGGTGGTTGGGATGGGTCCTGAGGTTTCTTTGACATTCTGCAGGACTCTCTGAGTTCACATCTTGGGTCTGAGATCCCACCAGCTGTTGGGACTGCAGGACTGGAGGTCAGGAGTGAGGTCTGGAGAGGCAACTGGCCTAAGAGACTGCAGCACAGCTCAAAGGTGGTCTCTGGGTACCGGAGCCAGAGAAGGGGGTGGGGCACCTTCCGGAGACACAATGTGCAGAGGAAATTGGGAGATGATACCTGAGCTTCTCTCCCTTTTCAGTCCCTTCTGCCCACTGACTGCTCCCCCTCCCCGATCCCTGGTCCCATTTAGAGTCAGCCTTGGCCAGAGAACAGCTCAGGGCTCTGGAGTCGGAACGCTGAAGGTTGCATCTTGCCCTGCCAAGCTGTGTGAACTTGGCCAAGTCACTCATTGTCTTTAGTAGGCAGCTTCCCCATCTGAGCAAAGGGGTATATAATAATACTAGCCCCAAAATGAAGTTGAGAGGATGAGTCTGGACTCTGAGAGAGGATATGAAAACAGTAAACTTTAAAAGCCACACAAATGCAGAACCTAACTTTTCTCACAGACCTGATACCAATGGCACCTCTTCCATGAAGCCTCCCCAGGCTGCCTAAGTGGAATTGATTTCTTCCCCCATTGACCTGCTGCTGCTCATCTGAATCTTACATGTCCATCTGCTGCTCCATCCAGAGGCATGATTCTCAGGACAAGACAGGTCTCTGGAATTCTGACCAGTGTCTCCTGACACCCCTCTTGTGGTCTGTACACCCAGCACTTTCCTAGCACTTGTCTATAGCATGCAAAACCAGCCCTGGGTTCATGCTATTGGCTCTTCCCTCTGACCACAGTACACTGGCGCCCAGTGGAGTCCTTAACCCGGTGGGCCAGTAAGTCTTTCTCTGAGAATTTACAGTTGGGCCTGGGATTAACAGGGAGTCAACTCAGCACCTCTCTGAGTAATTAAACCTGTAACATGCAAAACTGGTAGCTTTCCTTTTCTACCATATAAACGGGGAAACAGAGAACGCTGTGATCAGAGAAGCAAAGACAAGTGTTAGAGATTTCCTGGGCTCCATCACTTTTGGAGCTTTTCTTCCAGTAGATTCCCTTTCAGGCCCTAAACTAGTACTTGTGGATTCTAATACTTTCTGGCCTTTACAGAAAAAGAAACTAAGTCTCAGAAAGGTTTTCCAGCGTGCCTGAAGTCACAGTGAGTTAGCGGTGGAGACGCCACATCATATATAGCTCCTAAGCATGTTTTAAACAGATTAATTCAGGTGAAATTGGCATACACGTATTGTAAGGTGTGCAATTTGATACACTCTGACATAGGTGTGCATTCGTGAAACCATCACATTCAAGATAATGAACACATCCGTCACCCACCAGTTTCCTCCTACCTGTTCTTAATCCCTCCAGTTCTCACCTCAGGCAACCACTGAACTGCTTTCAGTCTCTATAGATTAGTTCGCATTTTCTAGAATTTTATATAAATGGAATCGTACACTATGTATTTTTTTTCTTTTTTTGTCTTCTTTCAGTCAGTGTAATTATTTTGAGATTCATCCATCTCGCTATACAGGGTCCGGCAGAAGTAAGGCCTGCTTGAGTGTGGTTGGTAGGGTAATAACATGGTGTAATAATTCATAGTTTTAATTTGAACATTTCACCTAAAATGTCATATGGTGTGCTTGAGTGTGGTATTGTTATGTTACAGATTACATGTTTATGATTTTGGGTTTTGTTTGTTTGTTTGTTTGAGACCCATGTCCAGCGTTTAAAGATAGAACCAGCGGACTGGAAACTGTCCGCACCAAAGACATGATGTTGAGGGGGCCGGAGCCCTCTCCCTCAGCCTCCATACATTACAGGGACTAGGACCACTTGCCCAACCCCTGCTAAGAAGAAGAGGGTGATTTTGTAATAAAAGATTTTGTAATAAAACTGGGATATTAGCCATGGCTGGTATGACTCAGTGGATTGAGTGCTGGCCTGCGAACCAAAGGGTCACTGGTTTGATCCCCGTTCAGAGCACATGTCTAGGTTGGGGACCAGGTCCCCAGCGGAGGGCGCGTGAGAGGCAACCACACATTGATGTTTCTTTCCCTCTCTTTCTCCTTCCCTTCCCCTCTCTAAAAAATAAATAAATAAAAGCTGTATACCTTACAAGGAAAAAAAACACAAAAAAGGGTGTTACTTGTGCCAGGGCCTATATTTTAATAGATCATTCTATTTTTCAACCAACTGAGCTGTATGGGTCAGGGCAGGTTATTTATTTCTTCTTGAGTTAGCTTGCACACTTTGTGATTTTTATTAAGGAATTTGTTTATTTCATTTAAGTTGTCAAATTTATTGGCATAAAATTTTTATGCATGACATCAAGCATCTTTTCATGTGCTTATTGGCTATTTGTATGTCTTCTTTGGAAAAATGTCTATTCAGAATCTTTGCCAAATTTTTAATTGGTTTGTCTTTTTATTATCACATTATGAGTTATTTATATATTCTATGTACAAGTTCCTTATCAGATATATACTTTGTAAACATTTCCTCCCATTCTGTGAGCTGTCTTTTCCTTTTCTTGAGAGTATTCCTTGAAGCACAAAAGTTTTACATTTTTATAAAGTACCTAATTTTCCTTTTGTTTTTAGTGTCATAGCTAAGAATCCTGACTAATTTGAGACTTACTCCTATGTTTTCTTCTAATAGTTTTATAATTTTAGCTCTTACATTTAGGTATTTGATCTATTGGGAGGTAAGGGTTCCAATATCATTTTTTAACATGAGAATATCCAGTTGTCCCAGCTGTATTGAAAGATTGTTTTTTTGGCCCTGGCTGTGTAGTTTCAGTTGACTAGAGCACTGTTCTGATACACCATGCTTATCGGTTCAATCCCCGGTCAGGGCATATGCAAGAATCAACCAACGAATGCATCATTAAGTGGAACAACAAATTGATGTTTCTCTCTCTCTCTCTCAAATCAATAAATAATTTAGGGGTCAGCTTTAGCTCAAGTGGTTATTTCATCACGGCAGACACTAAAACCAATAAATAATTTTTAAAAAGAAAAGATTATTTTTTCACAACGGAGTGGTTTTCCCACTTCAATTTATTTCTGACTCTTAATTCTATGCCATTGATCTATATGTCTATGTATCATACTGTCTTAATTACTCTTGGTTCCTTTGCAGTAAGTTTTGAAGTCAGGAAGTGTGCATCCCCCAACTTTGTTCTTGTTTTTCAAGATTGTTTTGGCTATTATGGGTCCCTTGAAATTCCACACGAATTTTAACACCAGCTTGTCAATTTCTACAAAGATGATAGCTGAGAGTCTGATGGGACTGCATTGAATCAAATGGGGAATATTGCTATCCTACCAACATTAAGTCTTCTGGTCCACAAACATGGGATGTTTTGCCATTTATTTAGATCTTCTCTAATTTCATTTAACAGTGTTTTCTGATTATGTTTTTAACTTTTCTTGTTATAGCTATTCCTAAGTATTTTGTTCTTGTTGATGTTTTATAAATGGAATTGCTTTATTAACTTTATTTTTAGATTGTTGATTTGTATATAGTTATACAATTGACTTGTGTGTGTATATATATATTTTTAAAGATTTTATTTATTTATTTTTAGAGAGAGGGGAAAGGAGGGAGAAAAAGAAGAAGAGAAACATTGATGTGCAAGAGAAACATTGATTAGTTGCCTCTTGCACACCCCCAACCGGGGTCCTGGCCCGCAATCTAGGCATGTGTCCTCACTGGCAAACTTTTGGTTTGCAGGATGATACCCAATCCACTGAGCCACACCAGTCTGGGCTGATTTGTGTATCTTTTAATGCAACCTTGCTGAACTTGTTTATTAGTTCTAATAGTATTTTTTGTGGGTTCCTTCGGACTTTTATATAAAAGATCATGTCTTCTACAAATAGAGATAGCTTTACTTTTTTCATTTCCAACCTTGATGCCTATTTTTTTTCCTAGTTGCCCTGACTAGAACCTTTAGTACAATGTTGAATAGAAATAGAGAAAACATCCTTGTCTTGTTCCCAATCTTAGGGGGAAAGTATCAAATCTATTATTATTAAGTGTGATGTTAGCTGTGGGTTTTATGTATAAATGCCCTTTATCAGGTTAAGGAAATCCCCTTCTATTCCTAGTTTGTTTTGTTTTGTTTCATTATAAATGAGTTTTGGATTTGTCAAATGCTTTTTTTTTTTTTTTCACCAATTGAGATAGCATGTGCTTTCTGTTGCTTTTTTATCCTATTATATAATATATATTACATTAATTAATTTTTGGATGTTAAACCAACCTTGCATTCCTGGTATAAATTCCACTTATTTGTGGTGCAATTCTTTTTATATGTTGCTGAATTCTGTTTGCTAGTATTTTGTTGAGGATTTTTGTGTCTGTATTCATAAGAGATATGAGTCTAAATTTTTTATGATGTCTTTGTTTGGTTTGGTATCAGGGTATCTCTCACCTGAAAGAATGAGTTGAGAAGTATTCCCTCCTTTTCTATCTTCTAGTAGAATTTGTAAAGAATCGGTATTAATTCTTCTTTAAACATTTGGTAGAATTCATCAGTGCAGCCATCATAGCTGGTGGTAATTTTTTAAGTTAATCAATCTCTTTACTTATTTTGTTCTATACAATTGTCTATTTCTTCATGAGTCAGTTTTGATAGTTTATCTTTTTCCAGGAATTTGTACATTTCATCTAAGTTATCTAATTTATTGACATACAGTTGTTCATAGTATTCCTTTATAATCATTTTTATTTCTGTAAGTTTAATAGTAATGTTTTGATTCCAGTAATTTGAGTAATTTAGGTATCATTTTTGACTCTAGTCATCTGAGTTTTCTTGGTCAATATAATTAAAGATTTGTCAATTTTGTTGATATTTTCAAAAAACTAACTTTCCATTTATTATTTTTTCTCTATTTTTCTGTTCTCTATTTCATTAATTTACATTCTAATCTTTATTATTTTCTTATCTCTGCTTGCTTTAGAGTTAGTTTGCTCTTCCTTTTCCTGTGTGTTAAGGTGACAGTTTAGGTTATTGATTTGAAATATTTCTTCTTTTTTAGTATAGGTATTTACAGCTTTGAATTTCCTTTTAAGCACTGTTCTAGCTGAATCTCATACATTTTGGCATGTTGTGTTTCTATTTTCATTTATTTCAGAGTATTTTCTAGCTTCCAATGTGATTTCTTCTTTGGACCATTGATATTTCAGAGTTGTCATTTAATTTCCATGTATCTATGAATTTTCCCAGTTTTCTTTTGTCATTGATTTCTAATTCCTTTGCATGTTTTTATTCTGAAAGATTTTTTTCCCAAGTAAAACATTTTAGGTTGGTGTTTATTTTTTCTTCCTTTGTTTTAAAAGCATGGCTCCACTTCTCTCACAGTTTTTGAAGAAAAAATGTGCTATCCTTATTTTTATTCATATGTAATATGTCCTTTTTCCCTGGCTGCTTTTAAGTTGTTCTTTTTATCACTTTTTAAAAGCAATTTATGATATATCTTAGTATAGTCTCTTCCCCCCACTCTTTTTTTGGCTGGGTACAGTATACTTTATTAATGGTACATGCTAAGCCCCTCCCCTTCTTCAGGAGGTCTGGGATGGAAATTGTGCCCAGGATGAGAGATTCTCAGTATATTTGAACACTGAGTTGGAACAAGGGCTCCCCAGCAGCTAAGGGCCTCTCTTTTCCTCTTATGTTTTTGGCGTGGCTCGTGGTCCAGGGGACTCTTACTCTTTGGAGGCCGTATAGAGGTCATAAGATCACCCTGTTGCTATAGTCAAATTCACTGTCATACCAGGAAATGAATTTGACAAAGTGGTTGTTGAGGTTAATACAAACCCCAGTATTGAAGATGGTGAGTGGGTGTCTCCGTTAAAGTCACAAGAGACAACTAGTCTTTACTGTAGCCTAGGATGACTTTAAGGGGTCCTCTGATGCCTCTTCCACCAGGTTTTTGTTGGCATCATATTTGAAATCTTTCCCCAAATAGTAGGTCAGGTCCGCAACCAATACATTATGAGGAAAGGACATGGAAGGCCATGCCAGTGAGCTTCCCATTCAGCTCGGGAATGACCTTGCCCACAGCCTTGGCAGCACCAGTAGAAGCAGGGATGATGTTCTGGGCAGCCCCTCGACCATCACGCCACAGCTTTCCAGAGGGGCCACCCATGGTCTTCTGGGTGGCAATGATGGCATGGATGTAGTCATGAGTCCCTCCACCATGCCAGAGTTGTCATGGATGGCCTTGGCCAGGGGGGCCGAGCAGTTGGTGGTACAGGAGGCACTGCTGACAATCTTCATGGAGTTGTCATATTTGCCATGGTTCACACCCATCACAAACATGGGGGTATCCGCAGAAGGGGCAGAGATGATGACCCTCTTGGCTCCCCGCTTTAAATGAGCCCCAGCCTCCCCCAAGGCAGTGAAGACACCAGTGGACTCCACAGCATATTCAGCACCAGCATCACCCCATCTGATGTTAGAAGATCTCATCCTGGAAAGTGAGATGGGCTTTCCATTGATGACAAGCTACCTGTTCTCAGCCTTGGCTGGACGACTGAATTTGCCATGGATGGAATAATACTGGAACGTGGAGACCATGTAGTTGCGTTCGATGAAGAGGTCATCAATGTCAACATACCCACTTTGCTAGAGTTAAAAGGAGCCCTGGTGACCAGGTACCCAATGTGGCCAATTCCGTTTACTCCATCTTTAACCGTCGTGCCTCAGGTGTGGCTGGCACTGTGCAGGAAGCCGTGGCTGTCTGCTGAATGGGGAGGATCATAGAGCTTGCTATAGTTTTCTTTATGTTTATTTTGCCCGGGGTTTATTAAGTATCTTACATCTGTGGATTCAGAGTTTTCATCAAATTTGGA